AAAAAAAAAAAAAGACAGCCATTAAATAAATAAAACAAAAATCAATAGCACTGGGCCGATTATGGTGGCTCACACCTGCAGTTCTAGGACTTTGAGAGGCCAAGGCAAGTGGATTACTTAAGCTCAGAAGTTCAAGAACAGCCTGAGTAAGAACGTGACACCATCACTACTAAACATAGAAAAACGAGCCTGGCGTGGGAGTACACACCTGTAGTCTAAGCTACTTGGGAAGCTGAAGCAAGAGGATCATGTGACCCCTAGAGTTTGAGGTTGCTGTGAGCTGTGAAGACACCACAGCACTCTACCGAGGGTAAGAGGGTGAGACTATCTAAAATCAAAAAAAAATTCAATAGCACTACTATTTCCTTAAAGGCATTAGAAGCATGCCTGTCAGTGTGCCTTCCTAGGCACACCAAGGGATGCAGTTATCAACACCAATGTCCTAAACTAATATAAATTTATAATCTAACAGAAAAGAAAGTTATATACAAAAATATAAACATAGAAAAACTGCATAAATGAGATATTTGTGATAATATAAATCTGAGTACTTTAAAACTATAACAGCAAAATCAAATCTTCGTTTAATGCTGGTATTCAACTTCATGTCCAGGTTACTATCTACAATTGTTTCAGGAGCAGTGACAAGGTTCAGTGTACTCAAATTTACCTTATAATAATCTATTGAATTTCTAAATTGTTATAAACTGTAACTTTTAAAAAAACCACATGCTCAATACCACTGAAGTTTTTCTAAGCATTTTATAATCAAACCTGGTCAGATTATGAAAGCACAATTGAACTCTTAATTTTTTCATTTTCTTCTACTCTTAAAAAAAGTAAATTTTTTAAAAAGATAATTACCTTAAATGCCAAATACCAGTCATTCTCCTTGGATGCCTTATTTCCAGCTCTATTCTTATAAACTTCAACTCTGTACTGGCGAACCAGAAGGAGATCTTTCACAAAAGATTCAAAATTCATTTTACTAAGCACAACACTCTGTAGATTCTTTGCTCCTTTAAAAAAAGAATTACATGTTACAAATTTGAGGTAGTAAGTGTTCAAGCACCTAACAATGCTTCTCCAAGAAGGCTTATAGAGTTCTCAATTTTTTTGTTTTTTTTTTTTTTTGAGATAGAGCCTCAAGCTGTTGCCTTGGGTAGAGTGCCGTAGCATCACAGCTCACAGCAACCTCCAACTCCGGGGCTCAAGCGATTCTCCTGCCTCCACCTCCCAAGTAGCTGGGACTAAAGGTGCCCACCACAACACCCAGCTATTTTTTACTTGTAGCTCCTGCCTCTACCTCCCAAGTAGCTGGGACTACAGGTGCCCACCACAACACCCAGCTATTTTTTACTTGTAGCTGTCATGATTGGTTGGTGGGCCCGGGCTGAATTCAAACCCACCAGCTCATGTGTATGTGGCTAGCACCTTAGTCACTTGAGCCACAGGCGCCGAGCCGAGTTCTCAATAATTTATGCACTCAATAAATTGGTTATCAAGCAATTAGGTCCAAGGACTATGTTAGGTGAGACATAAAATACTGAATAAATATAGCCCCTTTGCTTCTATGAAGCGTGCACATGGAAAGCTAAACTACTTTTTTTTCTGGAGACAGAGTCTCACTATATCACCCTCAGTAGAGTGCCCTGGCATCACATCTCACAGCAACCTCAAACTCTTGGGCTTAAGAGATTATCTTGCCCAAGTAAGTAGGACTATAAGCCCCCAACACAACACCCAGCTATTTTTTGGTTAGAGTTGTCATTGTTTAGCAGGCCCGGCAGGGCTCCAACCTGCCAGCCTCAGTGTACGTGGTTGGTGCCCTTACTCACTGATCTATGGGCGTGGAGATGGAAAGCTAAACTTCTAAAGATGATATAAAGAAAAAATGAGTAACTAACCTTATTTGTCCTTTTCTATAACTTGTTTTTCACAAGTTTGAATAAAAGTCTTATATAAAAACTATACAGTATTTACGTAAGATAGACTTAACTTTTCAAAAGGTCCACAAAAATCAGTCATTATCCATTGCAAACTGTTTAGGGCAGCGCCTATGGCTCAAAGGAGTAAGGTGCCGGCCCCATATACCCCATATACCGGAGGCGGCAGGTTCAAACCCACCCCGGCCAAAAGAAGGGAAAAAAAAAAAAAAAAAAAACCATTGCAAACTGTTCTAGGTCGAATATTCATATTATTCAAAACTCGAAGGTTCAAAGGAATACAAGCGAAGTCTCCTTTTCACCACGGTCCTCTACAAATTCAGTTTACAACCTAATTTATCAGTTTGTAGAATACATTTCCAAACATAGTCTATACACACATTTGCAAATATAAAATATTTCTTTTCAGGCAGTGCCTATAGTTCAGTGGGTAGGGTGCCAGCCACATATACCAAGGCTGGCAGGTTCAAACCCAGCCCAGGCCAGCTAAAACAACAATGACAACTGCAACAACAAAAAAATAGCCAGGCATTGTGGCAGGCGCCTATAGTCCCAGCTACTTGGGAGGCTGAGGCAAGAGAATCCCTTAAGCCCAAGAGTTTGAGCTATGACGCCACAGTACTCTACCCAGGGCGACAGCTTAAGACTGTCTCAAAAAAAAAAAAAAAAAAACATTTTCTTTTTCTCTTTTACGTAAATAGTTGCGCACTATACATAAAGGCCCCCATGAAAGGCACCCAAAGACAAGAGACTGCAAGTGGAGAGGTTTAGGCCAAGTTTATTGAAAGGGACAGCCACCTGCCTGGACAGAGCAAAGATGGCATCTGGGTGCACCCAGGAGCAGTGAGAGACCCCTTTTATATGGGGGCAGTAGGGAGTAGATAGCTTATGGCCCTCAAAACCATAACATGTTTTCTTTTAAACTTTAATATATTTTGGAGAACATTTCATCAGTATATAATGTACTTCCTTCTGTTCACAGTTGCAAACATTTCTACTAGAAGGGTGTTATATAATTGAATTAGTCTCTTACTGATGAATATATATAGGTTTGTCAACAAAAATGATGCCATAGTTTGAAACTGGCGCAGTGGCTCATGCCTATAATCCTAGCACTCTGGGAGGCCAACGTGGGTGGATTGCTTGAGCTTAGGAGTTTAAGACCAGCCTGAGCCAGAGCAAGATCCCATCTCTTAAAAAAAATAGCCATGCATTGTAGTAGATCCCTATAGTTTCAGCCACTCGAGAGGCTAAGGCAAGAGAATCACTGAGCCCAAGATTTTGAGGTTAGTATGAGCTATGACACCATGGCACCATGGCACTCTACCAAGAGTGACAGAGTGACAAGAAAAAAGAAAAAAAGGGCTAGGCACCGGTAGCTCAGCAAGTAGGGCAGCGGCCACATACACCAAAGCTGGTAGGTTTGAACCCGGGCTTGCTAAACAACAATGACAACTGCAACCAAAAAACAGCCAGATGTTGTAGCAGGTACCTGTAGTCCTACCTACTTGGGAGGCTGAGGCAAGAGAATCCCTTAAGCCCAAGAGTTTGAGGTTACTGTGAGCTATGACGCCACAGCACCCAACCAAGGGTGACATAGTAAGACTCTGTCTAAAAAAAGGAAGCCATAACTCTGTAAAATAATTTAAAGAAGTTTATTCTGAGCCAAATTTGAGAACAAAAAGTCTTTGTTTGTTTTTTTTTGTGACGGAGCCTCAAGCTATACCCCTGGGTAGAGTGCCATGGCATCACGCTCACAGCAACCTCTAACTCCTGGGCTCAAGCGAGTCTCCTGCCTCAGCTTCCCAAGTAGCTGGGCCACAGGCGCCTGCCACAACACCCGGCTATTTTTTGGCTGCAGCCATCATTGTTGTTTGGCGGGCCCGGGCTGGGAATTCGAACCCGCCACCTTAGGTGTATGTGGCTGGCGCCTTAGCCACTTGAGCCACAGGCGCCGAGCCGAGAACCAAAAAGTCTTAAGCAAGTAGACTCATTGTAGTGCAGTTACAGTTTGGTTTTAGACATTCCAAGGAGACAGAAATTACAGGTAAAGTGATAAATCAATACATGGAAGACAAACATTGGTTTGGCCCAAAAAGTGGGACATCTCAAAGTGGACTCCACCAGGTTATAGGTAAGTTTAAATATTGTTCAGTTAACAATTGGCTGAAAGAGGCTGTTAAAAAAAAAAAAGACAAGGCTTCAGCAAAAAGGAATGTTTAAGTTAAGATGCTAACATCCTCCAAGTGAGAGGTTTGTTATGTATACTGAGGACAAGGAGGTACACCTTGCAGAGCCTTAGGCCTATTAATGAGTCACAAAAGGACATCTCTAAGGGAGGAAAAATTGATGAGACATGTCTGATCTCCTTTCTCATGGCTAAGCAACTCAGTTTTAAGGATCCTATTGGCTAAGAAGGGGTCAAATCAGACAGCCACTAGGGGCAAGCCTTAAGATTTTATCTTAGTTCACAGGCTGTTTATATAGTCTTTTGCTATTACAATACAATAATGCTACATGAATATTTGTACATGCTTCCTTCACTGCACATGAGTACTGTGTAGGTCTAAGATAAAGTCCTAAAACTGGTTTTTATCAAAGGATATGTGCGACTTTGTTAAATACTGCCTGACTATGTTCTTGGTTGCTTGTGTAAATTAACACCACCATCCAGGCCAGACGTGGGGGGTCATGCCTATAATCCAAGGGCTTTGGGAGGCTGAGGTGGGAGAATCACATGGGCCCAAGAGTTCAAGAGCTGCCTGAGTAACATAGCAAGGTCCTGTCTCTTAAAAAAACAAAAAAAAATTTAGCTGGGCATGGTGCTGTGCATCTGTAGTCCTAGCTGCTCCTACCTGAGACAGGAGGATTGCTTGAAGACAGAAGCTTGGCTCGGCGCCTATAGCTCAACCGGCTAAGGCGCCAGCCACG